GTTGGGAATTACAGTTAGCTCCGCAAGGACGGGCCGACGGCCTCTCCCGTTAAGAGACAGAGCGTTGCATGGACGACCGGTATTCACATTGTCGACCTGTCATGACCTGTACGCCCGAAGGTTGTGAATAATCATCTGAAGTCCTCCAGCTTTTTCGAACTGGCCGAGATATACTAAGCATATATCTCACATCTCGTAAAAAAAATCGAGGCAACGGTTTCTACGATATCAGAAAAAACATGATATTTAATTAATGTCGGTTGATATAAAAATTAAAATACGATAAAATATCAAGGCCTCGTAATCTTTTTTTCCTGAATTCCATTTACTGATATTCGATTAATGAGCAAATCAACAAACAAGTAGATATATACAATGAATAATAAGATAATATATTTAAATCGTATCATTTATCATATAATGACTTCATTTAAAAAACAAAAATTTCGATGAAAAACATAAGTTAAGAGAAGCAATATTTAATTGCTCGCTTGATTAGGAAAAATGTAATAAATGCGTTTAAAATATAATTCCTTGATTTTTTTCTCCGAGTTCTATATTTTTACTAATGAGGAAAATATAGAACAATCAAGTATATTGATCTGAAGAACAAGCTTTTAAATTTTGAAACTGCTTTAACAATAAAGAGATAATAGATAATTATTTACATATATATAATATTTAAAATATAAACAGCATTCAAAATGTGATAAATCTCCTTCTGATTTGTGAAGACTTTTTCAACCCTTTCGACATTACTTTAACTTAGATAATTTTTGAACTTAACGAGATTCTCGCAGATTAAAGAAATCAGAAAATTGTTCGCAATTATTAACTATTATTTACTAGGCAGAAGAGTTGAAATGATTGAGATACACGTTTTAAGAGAAATCCGAGAAAATTACATATATTTATTTATATTATATTTAAGATATGTACTTATTTATATTTAATATAAAAGATTTTATATTTTCCTGATGCTGTTTGCACAGCCAGCCTCAGGAATCTCGTGCATAGTTCGGTCGTGGACACTTGCAAAGGATCATTACCGAATAGTCACACTTTTCAGTCGGCCGACAAAGCTATCGTGGTATTTTAATGGCGCGCCATAAAATGCACGATCGATCGGTCGACTGTATTTGGACAGGACGACTATCGCACGTAGTCTCCATCTCACGCTACACTCGCCGACTTTTTGCTGGTCGAGGTGGAATGACCGGCCCTGAAACGTTCGAACGTGTGTATGCATTATCCGTCTCCGGTTTATTTCTAGCGGTTCGCGAATTCGTGGTGAGCACCTTCTCTCCACGCCGTACCCGTACCCGAGTGATGTCATCCCCTGAAATCATCGCGGCGGGGTGTTTAGTTGCGTAAGAATCGACCGGTAAGGAGAGCTCATTGTCCGTAGTCTCCCCCCTTTTCCCCACTCAGTCTGCTGCAGATGCAAGGATGAAAAACAGGTGTGCAAACTACAAAGTTAGAATGTGTACATAATAATCTTTTCCATTTAGAATTTTTTTTCTTCAAAGCGACGTAATTTTTTCTTATACCCGTTTCTTCTTAAACATTTCTAATTTCTGCAAAATTCATATTATATAACAATATATTACTAAAACGATCAATTCCTAAAAATAAAGAAAACGTAATATATTTATAATAGTTACTTAGAAAGATATTTACTTTTGTCTTAAAGCTTTGAAATAAAGGCAATAAATAATCTCAATAATAAAAATTGTAATTATCTCGATGTAACATTATATGTATTGCTTATTTCTACAAATGTGAATTAATTTAGGTTTAACTTACTTTTTATTTTTTTATAATTCTTAGGATCAGAAAAAGATAAAAGTAAATAAAGTATCTTAAGATTGCAAATGTGAATGCACAATAGAGTAATAAGAACTTCAATGGTTTAAGCTATATCTTAATGTTTAAATAATATTCTTAGTATAAATTTATATAAAATAAAATAAAAAGTTAAATTGAAATTAAAATTAATCTATATTAATAGAAATAAGAGATCTAAGTACCATGACAAATAATCAAATGTTTAAAATTAATGAAAACTGTAACATACGATATATTATAATAATTCTATTTTAGATAAGATGTACCTATACAATACAAAGAAAATTTATGATGGAAAGTTCAGTTAGGTATACGCTGTGAATTTTATTTCTTTGTTCAAACATATTTAAGATCGATCAAGCAGCGAAGAGAGATTAATGCACATATTAATACACGTGGCACACCTGCGATCCCGGAAAGTTTTCTTGGCGTCATTTAAATACGACACTGACCTATCGACAGAGCTGCCTCTTAGAACAAGCTGCGAATGATAAATAGTATCGCAAACACGCAGCACGGTGTGACCTGTTTATATCCTAGCAGACTTTTATTATTTTTTCTCGCCCGTCGCTCTTGGATGTACAATATGACGAATTCTAAATTCGCAAAAACACGCGTCTTTCCCGATTCGCTTTTGTTCCTCGAAAATATGCGCGACAGAAAATTAAAACGGATTCTATTTTCGGCGACTGTTGATTGAAAATATCATAATCTTGCTGATGTACTCGTATTTACTCTTCTTCGTCTTTTTTCTCTTTATATAATCTTCATATAATTGATAAAGTTATAAACTCGCGCTATTATTAATGTAAATTGTGAAGGAAGAGAGAGTAGGATTCGCGACGAGATATTATAATATATATATTATCTGACAAATTGCACACCGAAGATCTCGATCTGTATTCCCGTGGCACGTCGACCGTAAACCTTGATAATCTCATTGACCGATGATCAAGATTCCGAGATCATTCTCGCGCCAGCAACACTCGCGTGTGATCTGGCTACAAAGTTGGCGCAGCAGATCTACATAAGCGACATACCTTCATCGTCGTAATGCAGATGCTTATAATGTTAACAATCCTTTAATTATCTAGTATAGTTTGAATAAAAAGCAAAGACAATACTATACCTAATCTCTAAATTTTTCAGAGTAGAATCTCCTCAATCTTGAAAAAGATCGAGTGACTCAATTTTCATTCTTAAAAGTGAATTTCACTCTTCAGAGATAATTTGCTCTAAAAGTTTCAGAGAGGATTTAATTAATATAAAGAGTGATCGTTATGCGTTCATAAAAATAAATTAAAATTATGATTCCCGAGATTTTACCAATACTTATGAATACTATTTATTCACTACACTATTTTAGATTGTGATGTCACAAGTTAGAAAATACACGAAAAATTCTTGCAAAATATTAAGCCACTCTTATTACTTAAGATGGTCTTAAAATAAGAACTGGCTATGAATATTGGCTTATATATATGTATATATATATATATATACATATATATATATATCCATAGTTACAACAAATCGTTAAACTAATATATTAGGTGTACAAATTAGTTCGGTCCGTTTTAATGTGTTCAAAAATGCATTTATTTCAAAACAAAATGAATGAACAGATTAATTAAAGTATTGTCCATCGCTGGCTACTATACTTTTTCCCATCTCTCAGGCAATTTTCGAATTCCATTTCGAAAAAATAACTCGTCTTTGGAGACAATCGTCTTTGGAGACAATCGTCTTTTAAAAAACGGACCGAACTAATTTGCATTCCTAATATATTTTATATTTATATATATAATATATATTTAGAAACAAGAAGACGTATATATTTTGTAAATTCTATCAATTAAAAATTAATTTTATTCAATATAATTTGCAAGATTTTTATTACACGTTTTCTCGCTTCTGTCATAATTTGAGATATAATAGTGATAATTAAACAGAAGTCATAAATACTGACACTTCTTAATTATTATTATATAGTTGTTATTATCATAGTTTTTGTTTTTTACTTGAAAAAATAAATACAAGATAAATATAATGAGAGAAGTGAATACACGCATGTATGTGTAGGTAATATCGAAAAAAAGGAAACTGGAAAAAATTCAATTAAAGGAAATAAACGATGATAATGGGAAAACGAAAGAAATCGAGCGGATAACGTTAGTAGCAATAAACAGAACCGTATTAGCATCTTAAGGTATTAGGGAATTTTTGCAATATTATTTATCCCATATACGGTGAACGCTAAAGTCACGTTATCTTTTTCTTTACACCTAATTAAGAAAAAGATAACGTGACTTTAGCGTTCACCATATCTAGGATAAATGGTATTGCAAAAACTCCCTATTACTTAAGACAATTTTAAAGTAAGAACGGATTATGAATATTGATCATAGATATACTCAATTGTCATAATGGCCGGTATTTATAGTCCGTTCTTATTTTAATATCGTCTCATGTAATATCTTACAATTCTAATGGGCCTTCTACAATAAGCCATAAGTCATAAATCGGAAGTAAGAAACTAAAAATTGACGACTGTAATTGGTCCATTTCTAGCTTATGACTTATGATTTGTGATTTACGGCTTATTGTAGAAGGCCCATAATACAGTTCTTGTGGTTGGTTTATGACATCTTAAGACTGTATTTAAGACGGTCTTAAATATAAGATCCAACTAAGAATATCGGCCTGAGCCTAAAGATGAACACTTTGTCACTATCTCATAATCATGTCTAATCAACAATCGCGATCACTATTAATCGATGACTGCCGTGTTTTCTTTATGCTCTGAACACGCGCACGTCGAAGGGATGATGTGTGCGTAAGAAAGAGAGAGATTATTGTTTATTCATTCGAGGATTATCCTTCAGCGAGTTCAGTGGCTGCGCCTACTTACAGAATGATGGTAATCCTCTCGCTATTTTTTACACCCTCCCACCAAGCGTGGCTCACTTCCATACAGCAAGAGGGAACATGATTGAGGCATGTTTGGGTGGTGGTTTATTTATAGCTTTGCGATTAAGGCGGGGGATCATGACGGGGATCACCTTCATGCAATAAAGAAGAAAAACGAGAAAGGAAAGAGGAAATTTGAACGAGACTTTTATCGTTTCTTCATTTATTTATGTTCTTTGCAGGCCTCATTTGCGCCGAAGGTAACCTTTGGAAAGATCAAAGAAGATTTGTAGCAGGATGCCTAAAGAATTTCGGTATGACGAAGTTACCCGGCGCGAAGAGAGACAAACTGGAGGAAAGGATCCTTGCGACTGTGAACGAGTGCACGTTGGTAAGTTAAACATCTAGGGTATATAACACAAGGCCATCATGTTACTAAATCTGCCCCTAAATGAGTATGTCGATGACCGAACATTTCATTCCAGAAATATGTAAGTTAACATTTATTTATCTGGAAATGTCATCGCATTTAATGAAGCTATTAATTTCTGTGACATTTTGATGCTATCGTTTTTTTTCGCTTAATAATCTTAAAATAAAAACAAACACTCACGTACGCGATATAAAAAAAAAATTTTAATTTCATTGTGTTAGAAACAAATATAAGAACATGAATTTGAAGTATTACAAATATTGTGAAGTTTTCAAAAACATTCCGCGTTAAAATTAAAAGTACATGAATAACGCGAAGCAACGCTAAGAATAATTATGTGCATGATACCTTCCTACACAACCAAACTCTAGGTATAAGACGTCTTAAAAATATCTTTTAGACATTATGCAGTCCGTTTAACGCTACACGGAAAAAAAGAACAATACAAGTATAATAACTAAAGTATCTAAAAATTTAGTAAGATACAGATTTGAAAATAATTTTATTGGACCATCAAAATAATTATGTAAAAATCTCAAACTTGATGAGAAATAATGCAAAAAACTTTGACATTTTAGCAACCAACATAAACGTCCTACATATAGTTGTTTTTATGGTCCAACAAAATTATTTTTAGATCTGTAGCTAAATTTTTAGATACTTTGGCAAAATCGTTTTTTTCGTACAAATGGCAAAGTATCATTTATAGCATTAAGTGGATCATAACCTATATCGTAAGATAAGTATATCTTATAAACTCGCATAGCCGCATAAACGTATGCATAAAGAAAATTATCCAATCACGTTTTACGTGCGTTTTTATAAGAGTCGAAATACGATTGGATAATTATAAATGCACATATGTTTACACGGCTATGCAATAGGCTTTAAGCCGGTATTCATAGATCGTTTTTTTTCTGAAGACTATCTTGAGTAATGTTTTAAAATGCAAATACGGCTTTCTAGCTAGTATTCATCATAGTTGGTTTTTATTTCAAGACTGTCCTAAGTAATGTCTTAAGAGTTAAGACGCTAATGCGGCCCTTTGATTGGTTCGTGATATCTCAAGAGCAAACTTAAGCAGATTCTAAAATTGTCTGTATTACCGACTAAATCATATAATTTTTGTATCGTAAATACTTTTTTTGTCATTCATAGATTCGAAAATCCTTTTTCGATTAAAGTATACCCATTAATACGTGCTTGTGAGAATTTATGCTGAAGACGGCAAAAAGTAAAGTTTCATAAAAATACATCAAAATGTAAGATTTTTGATCTCAACTTTTTTATATAATTAAGAGATAATATTTATTTTAAGATTTATGGAGCATTTTTCATAAATATTGATTTGTTTTTTAAATAAAAATTGGAAAAGAAATTTTTAGAAATGATTCATAGTATCTCATGCCTAGGGATCATGGGTCAGACACAATATACCCTTAGATGGTCTTCTTTTATATTTTCTAATCATTTTTATCGTGTTTTCTGAAAGAATATCAAAGAATTTGTATCACCCAAATTAACTTATAATAATCTAATCATCATCACTCCTTTTATCTCCTTTATGTGGAGCATAGGACGTCTACGAGTCTCCTCCATCTTACTCTATTTTGGGCAATCGTTTTTATTTCTGCCCAGCATTTTCCAATAGATTTAATTTCATTATCTATTGTTCTCCTCCAAGACATGGCAGGTCTCCCTCTTTTGCGCTTTCCTTGCGGATTGTATTCCATAGCCAAGCGAGCTATGTTATGCGGATCTTTTCTTAGAGTATGGCCGATCCATTTCCATTTTCTGCGGCGGATTTCAGTGCCTATTTTTTCTTGCTTGGAAGCGCGCAGTAGTTCTTCATTTGTTGGTAAGTTTGGCCAGAACAGTCTCAGAATTCGTCGCAGACATTTGTTCACGAAGACCTGAAGTTTGTTTATCAGTCCATCTGTGTTTTTCCAGGTCTCGCAACCGTATAGCAGCACAGATTTGATGCAAGCATTGAATAAACGAAGCTTATGTATGTTAGACATCTTTGAGCTTCTCCATATTTTATTAAGTCTGAAGAAGGCTTGTCGGGCCTTGTTTATTCTTTTGCTAACATCGATGTTGGTTCCTCCGTCTTTGGCAATTACGCAACCAAGGTATACAAAGTCGTTGACTTCTTCGATTGTGCGTCCTTCAATGGAAATAGGTGTGCTTATGTTTGTTCCAATACGCATTATTTTTGTTTTGTTGGTATTGATCTTTAGTCCAACTTCTGCAGCGTATCTTTGAAGTGCTGAAATTCTCCCCTGTGCATCTTTGTGTGTATGAGATAGTAACACGATGTCGTCCGCATAGTCGAGATCGTCAAGTCGGCGAGTCAGCAGCCACTGTATTCCGCCTGTTGTTTCTTGATTGCATTTTTCCATCACCGTATCCAGTACCATTAAGAATAGCATCGGTGATAGAATGCAGCCTTGGCGTACACCTCTTCTGATTTGGAAGGAGGGGCTCAGTTTTCCTTTGAAGAGAACACCGCATTCCGCGTTATCATATAATTCTTTTATTAATCTTGTTATTTGGGCTGGTATTCCAAATTTTTCTAGTGTTTTCCATATAGCCGGCCAAGTCACGGTGTCAAATGCTCTTTCAAAGTCCACGAAAGTCAGATACAGTGGTGAGTTGAATTCTGCTGCTTGCTCCACTATAATTCGAAGGCTGCTTATATGATCTATGCAGCTGTGTCCCGGGCGGAATCCTGCTTGTTCTTTTCTCAATTTTTCATTGACGTGCGCTGTCATTCTCTCGCGGATGATTGACGCTAGAATCTTCGTAATTGTATTCAGTAGGGTTATTCCTCGCCAGTTCTTACATTCACGGAGATCACCTTTCTTTGGAATTGTGATGATTATTCCTTGTTTCCATTTCGCCGGGATGCTGCCTGTGTCCCATACTTCTGTTATAATGGGGGCAAGTGTTTCCGCCGCAAATGATGGATCAGTTTTAAGTAATTCCGGTGCGATGCCGTCACTACCTGCGGCTTTGTTGTTCTTGAGTTTCTTTATTGCTAATCTGATTTCAGCAACTGATGGTGACTTTGTGCTGATACGAGATGATGTTGTATAGTCTATGTCGCAGTTATCTATTGTTGGGTCGTCGTGTTTAAAGAATTCTACCCATCGATTAAGTTGTTGTTGTTCCGTAGTGAGAATATGGCCATCGCTGTTCTTAATTTGTGGAATGCTTGTAAAATGGCCGGTGATCCTCCTGATACATTGGTATGTTTTGCGCACGTCCTTTTGTTCCGCCGCCACTTCAGCGTCATTGATGATGTTTTCTTCGAATTTACGACGATCTCTTCTTGCCATTTTCTTAATTTGTTTTTCTATGTTGTTATATCTTGCAAGGGTTACATCACTTCGGACCTGGTTTAGTTGTTGATTTAATGTTCTTCTTTGTTCGATTAATTCCCAGGTTTCATTCGTGATCCACATTTTACGGGTACTGTTTTTGATCCCGATGACTTCATTTGCGGATTCTACGTATGCTTTTTGCACTAATTCCCATTTTTCCTTCGCACTTATTGTAGGACTGATATTATTAACTTTGGCTGTTACAGTTTCACAGAAGTTCCGACGTTCGCCTTTATTCTTGAATTTTTCGATATTAAATTTCTTTTGTTTTGTTCTTGTTGTTATTATATTCATTGTTCTTATGCGTATTTTTGCCACGACTAGCTTATGGTCGCTATACATGTCCGCACTACGCATTGTTCGAACATCTAGAAGAGACTTCAGGTGTTTCTTGTCAATTAGCACGTGGTCGATCTGGTTACGTGTTACTCCGTCTGGTGCTTGCCAGGTATATTTATGAATGTCCTTGTGCGGGAATCGCGTGCTGCCGATGAAAAGTCGGTTGGCCATGCAGAGATCAATTAATCGCTCGCCGTTGTTATTGCGTGCTTCTCCAAGTCCATGGCGACCCATTATTTCATCGAGGTTGTTATTATTATTGCCGATTTTCCCGTTAAAGTCACCCATGACAAGTTTGATGTCTCTTTTGTGCGTTGAGGCGATTGTGGACTGCAGTTGGTTGTAGAAATGATCTTTTTCGCTGTCGTCTGCTATTTCCGTTGGTGCATAGCATTGAATGATTGTTATATTGCGATTTTTGGCTCGGAAACGAGCGGTTATTAATCGGTCGGAGACTGGATTCCACTCCATTAATGATTTTTTAATTTTAGTGGATATAACTATTCCAACTCCATTAATGTGGGTGGTTGAATTGCCCGAATATATCATGTAGTGATTGTCTGACGTTGTAATGTCCCCGCTGTTCTTCCACCGCACTTCGCTGAGACCTAGGATCTTAATTTTACAGCGTGTCATTTCTTTGCTTAGTTGTGCCAAACGGGATGCCTGTGCCAATGTCCGGATGTTCCAAGTGCCAATTCGTATACCTTTTTGATAGCTAAGGTTCATTTCCGTTGTATCCGTCCGATATCCGAGGCTCGTATTCGTTTCTCGAATCAGCTTGTTTCGGGTTTGCGGGTGATTGGCCCACAGAATCCTATCCAGCCGTCAGAGTTATACTGACTGTCGGTCGGCCGGAGCAACCGGTGATGGCCGTTTTTGTTATTATTTTTATTTAGGAATTCTAGCTGGATTTGAACTCGGGATCTTTGGCATAGGAGGCAAATACTTTACCAGTGCGCTACGGCCACCACATAATAATCTAATACATCCAGACAATTTTGCATAGTTTATACATAATCATATGTATAAAGAGATTTATCTAATTACATTTTTATCATAAAGACACACGTAAAATACTATTACATAATTTCAAGGTTGGCAAATAACGCGTTATTTGTAACGTCGTCACCATTACAAGTTACTTTTTTCGGTAACGAATAGGTAACGACGTTACATTTTCTTCGGAGTAACGTTTATGGTAACACAGCTACATTTTTGAATATTTGAATTCTTCTATGATTTGTATGTTTCAAAGTAACAGAATAATTACATGTTACGAGCAAGAAAAAGAAAGAAAAGAACCGGAAGAAGAAATATACACGCAGGTTTTGTGAACGACAATTTATTTTCAAATTATATTATATTTTAAAATTTGTTAAAAATCTTCGAAGTTTTCAAGTTGACATTTTTTTTCTTTTTGAAGGTCCTGGCTGGTGAATGTCTTCGTCATTTTCTTCGTTTTCACACACACACACACACACACACACACACACGCGCGCGCGCGCGCGCACACTCTGCAGCATGTGCCGCCTGAAGGCTCGCGCCGACCCGCCGTCTTTACGTCGCTCTGTAGGACAAGCTTTCAATCGTAACGCAACGTATGACCACTTAAAGATCTTGAAAAATGCAACAAGTTTTATACAATGCATTTTTTCGATAAATTTCAAAGGAAACGAGATATAAGCAATTTAAGATCAATTTACAAATTTTTTTTTTTAACTATTTTTCATCTTTTTTTCTAAATTTCTCGATAAATGTTCATCGTAGACAAAAAACTTATGGGACATAAATTGTAGAGGGCAAAAAAGGCTAAAAAATAAGCTATTATACGTCCATATAACTTCATTAGAAGCCGAGTTATTGCAAAAATACTCGATTTTTTCGGTTTTTTCAAGATGGCGGCGTTCGCACAACCTCGATCGATACGGAAACTTAGAGTTAAGCTTTTCTTGACCTCCCAAACAACCTCCAAAAGAAAAATCATTTAGGGGATTTTTTGCAAGGTGATGTATAGAAACGCCGATAATTTGACTGGACTAGTACGAAAGTCGCGAGACCAAGTGAAGACGCGCGCGGTGTCGATTCGTAAGGGTCACGACGCGGTGGAGAGGAACGTACCCCTAATCGAATCCGGGCCCTAATAGGTCGTTCGTTAGTCATGTGTGTCAAAGGAGGGCCGTGTACCTTGTCGTAACCGTACTGCGCTGCGGTGCGTTTTTTGTCACCGATGCTAACGTCTCAACCGTCGGAACAGAAAAAAACTGTGTATTGATGTCCGAGTATGCATGCGGACTTGTGTCAAAGCCGCCGTACCAAATTCACTGCGCATTATCATGCATGATATAAAAGAGCTCTGACGCAACAACCAGTACATTTTTTAAATTGCGATACGAAAATTCATGTATATGTGTGGCGTGCGTGAGTGAGATATTGATGTGTCAGTAATACATAATTGTCTATGTGTAAGTGCTATTTTCAATATGACTAATTTAGGATCCCCGTAAGACAGTCTTGAATATAAAAATTGACTATGAATACCAGTCTCTAATTGAGTTATAACAAAATTGTAATTAGGGTGGTCTTAAATATAAGAAGTGACTATGAATACCACTCTTAGGTCAGTATTCATAGTCAGTTCTTATATTCAAAACCGTCTTAAGTTCAGTTTTGAGGTGTCATGAACCAGTCAGACAGCTGCATTAGCATCTTAAGACATACTTAAGACAATCTTAAAATAAGAACTATGAATACCGTCCATAAGCTCGCTTTTAAGACATCTTAAAGTTTCGATTTTGGACATATGTGTTATTCGAATTTCTTTTACTGATATCTTAGAAACTAAAAAGACTTACTATGGAAGATGGTATCGATCCATGCGAGACACTTCATCATTATGTGGGTAACATGATGAACGACCTCGTGTTTGGTAAAGTTTACAAGGAGGACGACGAGGTATGGAAATGGCTGAGACACTTGCAAGAGGAAGGTGTCAAGCACATTGGAATCGCAGGACCACTCAATTTTTTGCCGTTCTTCAGGTATGATTCCTGATTCCCACGATCCTACTCGCCGATTTGCATAGCGTACTATAATATGATTTACACGTCGTTAACGAAAAGTAAACCGCATTACTGTGAAGAAAAAAGTGAGTAGGTTAATTAATTTGCACTACTAATTAATAATATGCTGATAATGCGACAATGATTTACTTAACATCTATCATACTGTGTTTTTCAACGAAGGCAGTATTTTTTGATAAGATAGATTAGAAGGTTGATGTGATAAAAGTTATAATTATAAAATCAAATTAGCGTATTCTAACGATGCTAAAGATAATGTAAAATAACGTAATTACACCATTAACGTACAAGTAAACTGTAATTCGAATTTCTATTTTATGTATATATTTTATGTATCTATTTTAGATATATATATATGCATTTTCTTTTTTTCAAGATTTCGTAAGTCGATATACGTGAGGAACATATCTCTTGACATATATAAATAAAACTTAAAAATTGATATGACAATAATTATTTATTAAATTGTTTGTCAATTTAATTTGTAACACTTATATTTATATAAGGGAAATGCACGAAGTGATAATTGCCAGGAAATAACTTGTTATTTGTAACATTATACAAGTTACTTTTTTGATAACTTTACTGATAACTGTGTTCTTTTTTTTTGGTATATAATGGTAACGTACATTTTTTGGATAACGGTAACGAAATTTACAATTACTTTTATCGTTACTTTGTACACGATTGGACATTTATTCTGTTATATAACAATTACATGTTATTAATTACGACAGCTCTAAATGTGGTTGGAGGACATTGAGTATCTTTATAATTTAATACAGGCGTACAAGCTTTACTCTGTACATTTCTGTGTACAGTTATATTAAATGAACAATTGGAAAATACTCCTTTTTGCAAAACTTCTGTTATATATTTTAATTATATAGGGTTGTACTTTTCTTTCTGTTAAAATATTTGATTTACAGCTAAAAGTATAGATTAAATAAAAATATAGCTGTATTATAATAAAGAGATTATGTGTATTTCTTAATTTTCCTTTTAATCTCTAACTTATATTGTGATTCAGATAATCCTATACAATTCTATATAATCTTCTAGTTTTCTATAAAAAAAAATTCCTGAAATATTTTAACTGTCAACTGCTGTGACGATCCTGAAGTGATCTTTGACAGCTGAGAAATATATACAGTACCATTATTTCAAGAATTATTTTGCACTTGTATCTTCTATGTGATACATCGGATATACTACAGGGATGGGAAAGTTACTTTGTAAAAATAATTAATTACAGTTACAGTTTTTTCTTTCAAAAAATAATTAATTACCGTTACAAGTTATTGACTCTGGAAAGTAATTCGTTACAATTACAATTACTGAAGAAATAACTTTAAGTTACTTTTAAGCAGGGAATGGAAAGTTACTTTTTAAAAATAACTAGTTACAGTTACTCGTTACCGAGTAAAAAATGTAACTAGTTACAGTTACAGTTATCGCTTTTTAAAAGTAACTCGTTACAGTTACCGTTACTTGAAAAATAACTTTTCGTTACTTTTCCGTTACTTTTTTAAAATCAATTTAAAAATGTATTTTTGCATTTTTTTTTTTATATGTAATACTGACAAATATATAGTTTTATTAAAAAAAAAAAAAAACAATGTAGAATGGCTCAAATAATAAATTAAATAATAGTAAAATGAGAAGGGTTACGAGCCAAAAATGAAACAGTTTATTTCCGATAAGAACGACGATGACAATGTAATTAAATGTATAAATATATATTAGAACAATACATAGATAAAACAAGATAAAAACAAACGACGTTTCGACACTTATTGTCATCGTCTTTTAAACTGTTTCGCTTTTGGGTTCATAGCCCTACTCATTTTACTATTATTTAATTTATTTTTTAATTTTTTTTAAACACAATTTTGTAATTCTAAAACCTGTAAAATATGCAGCAAATTGAAATATTTGTATGTCCTATGTATTACATAGAAGATAGAAGTGTAAAATAATTACTGAATCATAACGGCCGAATGTCTAAGGGCTTTCAAGTCTTATTGATAAGCGCTATAAATAGCATGTATCCAATCGAACCGTATTCAATCGTGTGCAAAGTAACGACAAAAGTAACTGTAAATTTCGTTACCGTTACCCAAAAAATGTAACTCGTTACCGTTACAGTTACCAAAAAAAGAAAGTAACGCAGTTACCAGTAAAGTTACCAAAAAAGTAACTTGTAACTGTAACTTCGTTACAAGTAACGAGTTACTTCCATTCCCTGCTTTTAAGTTACTTTTTCATCAGAATTTTCACTAGTAGCATCGATACTAGGGCTGCATTCAGAAACGTTACCCAACTGCCTTCGTGTACCGTTTTACCCTTGTTTTGTCACCTAATATTAAACAAGAATGATACACAGGGTCATCAGAGTAATTAGGACAATTAAAAAAAAGACTGGTTTACATTTACATGTCATAAAAATTCTATTGAAAAAGAAAATTGTATGGCAAAAACGTTTTTCGTTAAAGTAATATATTATAAATGAATATGAAATATAGTACATATACAATGTTTTCTTGCAAATAATATTCTTTTTATATTCAGCTAAAAGTTGCAAATAAATTCTAGATTCCAATTCCAGCACTAATCCAAAATATTAATATGTAATCAAAAATATGTATCAAACGGATACAAAAGTTCGTTGAATGCTTTAATTAAATTTCTTTCTTCTGATTAATCAAATGTTCCGAAGCATTTGTAGCACCAAATGGACACTATCGCACACTAAATTAATAAATAAGAATTTGAATAGGTATATATATAAAGTAACTATATATATATATATATATATATATAAAAGTAACTATTAAATAGTTACAGATGGAAAAAAGTAACGAAGTTAAGTTACAGTTACTGAAAAAAAGTAACTCTAACTGTAACTTCGTTACAAGTAATGAGTTAGGGTGCCGTCACATACAGCCCGCAATCCGTAATCCGCACCGGATGTCCGCAAAAGTTACTAGGGATTGCGTCTGTAACGTTACGTGTATTTTATCTCCTTATGTCCCATGGAGCCGTATAATTCTGTAAAAGTTACCAGTTTTTACTAATAATGCTTTACATTATTTTTTATTTAACAAGCTATATTGATTATTTTTAATTTATTTCATAAGAAAACTGCAGAATATATCTTGATTATAACAAAAACTTTACTTAAACCGTCAAATTTAGTCAAATAGTTAAAATTAGAAAAAGCATTACTAGTAAAAACTGGTAACTTTTATGGAATTACGGCTCCATGGGACATAAGGAGATAAAATACACGTAACGTTATGGACGCAATCCCTACTAACTTTTGCGGACATCCGGTGCGGATTACGAATTGCGGGCTGTATGTGACGGCACCCTTACTTCCCATCCCTGGATATACATATATCTCAGTTTTGCTGCATATTTTACAGGTTTTAGAATTAAAAAATTATAATCGCAGCGCATATTAATAGCGCAGTATTTCGCGGCTGTGACAGATTTCCTAACCTGAATAGTCGTCAACTTTAATGCTTAATATCTCGGTTCGCGGGGCACAGCAGGACGGTGTTTCTGCTAGATTCATTTATTTCGTATAAAAACGCGTTGAATGAGTGTATTTTTATCAAAATTTGATATATATCATATTGTAACAATATATTATATTGTAACGATAACCATAATAGTTAGACGTGTCTAATTTCGTTGTGACAATCGATCTTCTTTTAAGTTATTGACATTGTATAATTATGTGATCATCTATCTTGACTTCGATAACATTTGCGAGAGGATGACCACTATTTATTTGTTATAGACAATTTGTACATGGTAAAAAACATAGTATTAATCGGTCGGTCAATCGTTGGTCCATCTACATGATTTTATCCGGTTCAAAATGTCCATCACAATCAATTTATATGGATATTGTGGTTTAAAATGTAATAAGATAGATTTTTGTATTGCGAGATTGTTCGAGTATCCGAAGAGAGGGCTAAATCATATATAGTCAAAATGTAATATGCGCGTGATATAATGTCAAATTTGTCAATTCATTAAATCAGTATATATAATTAAAATGTAGCTCACATTTTTATTTTAAACTTGACAAATTAGTTATTTGATTCTTATTAAAATCCTTTAGGTATATTATACAACTATCAATTTTATATTAAGAGTTCTTGTATTCAAATTAATTTTATAATTTTGTGAACTGGACATTATCATACACAGAGCAAATGTCGACGACATAGCATTGATGTCACGACATTTGCGATACAGTATATGTTGCAAACTGAATCGGTAGTGTGAACGAAGAATCCAAATCTGGCGATCCACAATCTCAATCTGATCTGCGTCCATAGTGTGACACGGGCTTAATGAGATATCACCCAATCGCCTGAGGATATAGGTAATGCATTTAGGTATAGTTAAAATATCTAGATAAAGTACTATATACTTTCACCTAGATACATTCCAACTGAAAATCACAAAATATGTCACTACATCCATAAATTACTAGTATTACTAGTATGTAGTATTATTATAATAAATATATATTATATACGATACATTATTGTTATTTTATTTGTATACGTATTAAATGATGTCAAATGATCGCCAATAAACTAAAGTAATAATATATTCCAAACATTTATCTTTGTATATAATAAGGTAAAACTTTCCCTTTACACAGTTAGTCTCAAATGACTTCCGAGTGATCTTGACCTTGCCTTGAGGATCAAGAAGATCAAGGTCATTGACCGTTCCCGTCGCTCGTTATTCGTTGAAAAGTTATTAATTAAAGCATTTTTCTCAATAATTCGTAATTTTTCAAGGGTATATATCAATTGCATACGAGCCAGTTGCGCACAACCAATCACAACACTAGAAAAAAAAATATAAAAAAATTCCCTACGCAGAAGTTGCTGTGATAGACAGTGGGTAATAGCTACAGTATGCAAGTGAACCGTTCCCATT